CCCTGTCGGAGGGAGCAGGGCAGCCGAGCCGAGCCGTGCGCTGGGGCGCGTTGGCAGCCGCGGTGTTCCAGCAGCCCCAGCTCAGGCGCCCGACCCCGTCCCGGACACTCGCGGGCCGCCGCGCTAGCCAGGGCGGCCGGAGATGTTAGCCCGGCCCCGATCCCGCCTCTGCCTCCGCCGGGAGCCGCTCGGAGCAATTCCCACGGCAACCCAGGCTCGACCCCCTTCCCAAACCCCGCCTCTGCTCCCGCCCCGCCGCTCCCGCCCGGCGGCCGCCGGCGGTCGGAAACAGTCCGTGTGTAAACTCGACGTGTCCGGAAAGGTGCGCGCCGCTCCCCGCCTCGCTCCGTGCCCGGCCGCGGGGCGCGCCCGCCCAGAGCGATGCTGGACCCTTCCTCCAGCGAGGAGGAGTCCGATGAGCTGCTGGAAGAGGAGCGGCGGGACGTGCTGGTGGCGGCGGGCGGCGGCTCTTCGCGCTCGCTGCCGCCGGCGCCCCGGGACTCGCGGGGCAGGGAGGCCGGGGCGGCACGGGCAGCCAGCCCCAGCCCTTCGGTGCTGAGCGAGGGCCGGGACGAGCAGGAGCGCCTGCAGCGAGAGGAGCGGGAGAAGCGGCTCCGGCTGCAGCTCTACGTGTTCATCGCGAGGTGCATCGCGCACCCCTTCAACGCCAAGCAGCCCACGGACATGGCCCGCCGGCAGCAGAAGGTGAGCCCCCGCCTCCCCGCTCCCCTGCCCCCCGCGGGCCATCCCGCGCCCTCCGGCCCGCCCGGCGCTCCGGCCCGCAACAGGTTGAGCGGGGCCGCGGCACCGACCGGGCACGGCGCTGCCGGAGCGGCTGCTGCAGGGCGGGCTGTCAGCGCGCCTGGCCCAAAACACACCCTTTAGATAGAAATCCGTCACTCACCGGGGGTGAAGTCGTTCAAGTTTCTAGAGTTGCGCTCGAAGTCGCCGTGCGAAGGGCACAGGAGCGCAGGGAGCGGGCGCGCTAAGGCCGTTGTGCAGTGGAGGATATATTCTGCTTCTCGGCGGTACTTGTGGCTGGAATTAAACCTTCCAGAGGTGCTTCCTGCGGGTCGCGTTCTGACCGTCCGTACCCAACCCGAGCAAATGAAACACAGAGGTGAACGAGAAAACTATTTTTTTATGAATTATTGAGTGTGCTCTTTGTACACAGAAACAATCAACATGCGTGCCTGTGGTGAGAATGACCTTCTAATGAAGGTTGACCTAAGTTATTCTCTGTGTCTGGTATGTGAAAGACAAGCTTTTGAGAACTGGCAGGTGCGTGGTAGGTATTTAAGCTTATTCTTCCTTATTTTTTAGCTACTGAATAAGCAGAATACACGAAGTTTTGGATTAAGGTGCTGGATTTCCAGGTAACTACTTAAGAGCTGAGTTCTTGAAATGTTTGATCTAAAAAATTGGTTTTTTACTTTCAGTTTTGCAAACAAATAAACTAATCCAGAACAAAAGAAACTAACAAAACCCTCATTCTGTATCACTTTGCAGAAGGATAGTGATAGGACACAAAAATTATTTCATTCTACTTGGCCTTTATGATCTTTGTACTTCCATATGTCTAAGGGTTTGTAAAATCCAATACTAAATGTTTTGGTATATCTGAAGTATTCCTGCTATAGGTAATGGTGTTTAGTGAATTCTCAGACAAGTCAATGTGGCAACATGCTAGTAATAATAAGATTGTTTCTGGAAGATTAATTTGTTTTTATTAAGTGTTAGGTACTTAAACTCTGGAGCATGAATGGAGACATCTTGTAAGCAGATAGCCAAAGAAAATCTGAAATAAAAATTTTCAACTCACTGGAAATTCCCTACCCCGACACAGAATCATCACAGAAATTATATTTTGAAGAGACATCTGGATCCCTCTAAGTGTGACTTCCCACTGGACAAAGCCAAAGCAGACTTGATGTAGTGTTGATACCAATCTAGGCTCAAGCAGGAGGCTCAGAAGCCTCCAGGGATGAGATCTCACAACCTGTCTGTGTGACCTGCTCTACTGCTGCATTGCCCTCCTGTTGATTAAATTCTCCTAATCAGCTTCCAAGTTGCAGCTTGTGGCCATCAATTGCTGAAGATACTGAGCATTTAGAAGTTCTCACTGATCGAAGTCACTAAGTATAGGAACTGTTTTAAAAATAACTACTGTATTAATTATTTTTATTAATAAAATGTATGAAAAGAGATTACTGATGTGCAGCAAATGCAGAAATAAAACTGTTGTGGATTTAACTATGAGCAGTGAACAGACTGATTGAAAAAATTGACTTTATACCTAAAATTAAATACTGCTCTTGGTAATTACGATTTTTAAATGAACTCTGGATTTTGCATTAAGTACTGTATGTACAAAGAGACTTTTGTCATATTTAGGAATTTAGCTGCAGAACAAGGATGACTTGTCCTTTCCTGGTCAGGAAATACTGTTTTTAAATTAGACATAACACAAAAAATAATTATTTCTAGGAGTTGCACTTCTGTCTAGATGTAATGAAAAGCACATAACCATCTTTCCTCTTATTTGACAATTTTGTATATATTATCCAAATATATACAGGTAGGGTAATAGAACTGGTCATGAGTTTTGAGAGTTCAGAAAACCTGCTTTGATAGTTTGGGATTTCCCAGAGCTCTATGAAGGAGCCCTCTTTTATATCTAATTTCTGTTCTCTGCGCTGCATGGTGGCCCCATGTCAGCTTTGGGAATGAGAGTACAACCACCTGTCTTAAACCGTGTCCTGGAGGAAGACACTTCTGGAGGTGTGACAGCTGGTCTGGAAAGGAGATGACTCAGAGGGGACTTACCAATGTATTTAAGTATCTGAAGGGAGGATGTCAAGAGGATGCTCTTCTCAGTGGTACAAAGTAGTGAGACGAGACAACAGGCAGAAAGTGATGCACAGAAGTTGCACCTGAATATGAGAAAGAACTGGAGTATGAGGAAGAGCTTCTTTACTGTGTGTGTGATTGCACACACAGATTGCCCAGAGAGACTGTGGAGTCTCCCTGACTAGAGATATTCAAGAACCATCTGGATGCAATCCTGTGCCATGTGCTCTGGGATGACCCTGCTTAAACAGTGAGGTTGGACCAGATGACCCACTGTTGCCCCTTCTAGCCTTACTAATTTTGTGATTCTGTGAATAATATTCTATGGGATAAAAGTCTGTCTTATTTCCTGAATTAATTTTCTATTTGCCAAGATAGGATATAGATATGGACTGTTCCTCAGTCTCTTTCTCTTCGCTTCAGTTCTGACTTGTGTGTGACAGCATGTGGCTGGCTGTCCACTGCCAGCCTGGACTGAGGTTCCTTACCTGTGTTATGTAACTGGAGCTGTTAGCTACAGCATGCCCTGTCCATCATCAGTTATCCAAGGTATGGTTTTGAATGAGAATCTGTCATGCTGTGTGGGTTCAGCCCCCTTCCTCTTTCTGCTTGTGAACTCCTTGTAGTGCTTTTGCACCAGCAGTCTTATAGATAACCTAAGAATAGTATCCACCCTGCTTAAGAGCAGAAGTAATTTATTCTTTCTGCCAGTTCATTTGGCATATTGCTGAGCAAATATTGAGGAATGCATTTTGCTTCCTTTTTAATGTGGAACATATTATCCAGTAAGGGAATGAGATGGAATTCATATATCCAATATCTTCAACTGCATTGTGTAATATTAGTAGAGAAATGGGTTACAGTGTGGCTGGCTTCTTATGTTCTTGCTTTAGTATCAGATTAAAATGTACTATATGGTATCTTGAAACCATACTTAATGGACTGTGTTATACTAATTAAAGAATTTTGAATGCAGGCAGTGTTTCGTTCCTCTGTTGTCCTTTCTTCTTCCTTCTTTCTTCTTGCTAAGTAAAATTAGCTCTGCTGTATTGTGATAGATAAGATTAATTAAAAAAGAAAATCTAACTTTTAGAAAAAACAAGAACTATCATAATTCACCAGAGTCCATCAATTCCTCTAACTTGCTTTTAATGACAAATTCAATGTAATTTAGCCCAGGGTTTGCTGAATCACATACTTTAATAATATGGCTCTTTTTTTTTTTCTTTGTCACTAGGATGGATATATGATAGAAATAATAATTTTTAACTGTTCAGAGTTATTTGATGATCTACTATTATACCCTGCCTTACTTTGGTTGCTGGTAGATTTTTGATAGAGAAGGGGGAATAATCAAATATTGGAGGTGTGGAACTGAAGCATGGTGTTATTTTTTGAGGTGGGGTAGCATGTCCTGATGTAGTTAGCTCTACCAAGTAGAGCTAATATATATTTAGTAACATATTTCCAATAGATATTGGTGAACATTTAGTAATATATTTTCCACCTTGCAGAGAAATATCGATGCATCAATGCATTACATTTTGTTCTTCTATAAAGCAAACTTTGTCTGTCCCCTGGTTTAAAGAGACTGTCACTTTTTTGTAGTTACCACTTTTTTATGAGTCCCCTCGAACATATTTCACTATTTTTTTTTCTGCCTCTTCAGTCCTCCTTATTTCTAGTCCTAACAGACGACAATCGTTAACTAAGCCCATTCCTCTTTCTTCTGTTCTCTTACCCCAGCCAAACTGAATCACAAATCACCAGATTGAATTTGTCCATAGAATGAGATTTAGGCTGTGAAAGAAATTCTCTTGTGACTGTCTTCCATCAAGGGAAGGTGGTGTATATGAACGTACATTGCATATATGAGTATATATGTACTGAGTCAGTGATTAGATGGTGACCCTGGTAACTGCTGTTTATACTAATCAGTTGTAAACCCATATGTACCCAGCAAGTGTGTGCCAAAGGCAGGTTCTGTATCTGAGAGATGAATGGGTGTTAAAGTTCCTGGGGAAGAGACAGCAAAGTGCTACAATTAACTAGCAAAAAAAAAAAAAAAAAGGTGTTATTCCTGTGTTTTTCTTTCTCAGCATTTTAAACCTTACTCTAGTAATCAAGTGGCCACACAGAAATCCAAGACTAAGGGAGAGGTAGCACTCCTAGGCTAAACAAGATTTTGTAATGCATGAAAGGCTTAGTACATCAAAGCTGATAACTCAGGCCTTGCTTTCGTAGGTGATAGGTATTAGAAGTAGTTGATCTGGCCATGTAGAATTCATAACTGAGTGAGTTTACTTCCTGAATACTTGATGGCCTATTTCTCTTCCATTCCTTTTCTCCCATCCGGCTACTAAATCATGAGTAGATCAAAACCATTGACTTCTAGCTAATTCTTGAAAGTAGGAGCAGTAATAATCAGTAATTTATTTTCATCTGACTTTCATGCATTCATTCATTCCTCTTTCTTGGACCTTCTCTGAAAGGAGAGGTTTATAATGATACATGTTCACTACGTAACACTGTCAGGAGATGCTGGTTATGGGGATAGACTTCATTCTCTGGATTGCAGTTTTATTCCCAACAATTGTCTGTCTTCTGTCTCAAGCCCCATATCTCCTTACTTTTGAACTGGAGATATTTATCTGCTTATTTCTTGGCTAAGCATGTTTTGGGAAGGAAAAATTGCGTCTTGGCCTCAGAACATGCATCATTAGATGTTGCTTTCTGCACTGCTAAGGTAACAAGGAGAATACATCCAAAACCACTGTTTTCAGAAACTCTAGACACATTCCAGAGAAAAAAACAGCTATAAAACTTGTTCATCTGGTCAAAATTCTGCTAAAGAT